GGACAATTATTGGACTCCATAAATCCAAAACGAAGATAAATGTTGTTGTATTTCCGCCTCTTACCCACTGGTACAGAGGATCCGATTGGCACAGACATATTGCATTACATCAGGTAGTACAGAAACATCGCACGTCTCAGTTGCTGCATGCTCAGAGGGCACATTAGATGGCCCAACTACTAAAATATCTGAATTCGACGAAGAATATTCCTGCGAAACATTTAGCAGTATTCCGTTCTTCATTTCATGGTCCTTGTTGATGTTACATGTCTAACTACCACAATGGAGATAAATAATTAGACAAAGAGTCCAAAACACACCAGGAATTTGGTTACTATGATAAGTTGGGTCTTAAAGAAGTATAGTAGTGAACGAAACAGCCACCTTTTTTAACGTTGCTGATGTAGTTTTCCTCGAATTTGCGGAATCGGCTGAGCACATTCGTTAAACACAGAAATATTCACGCTTTCCTTCTGAGTTTCCGTGGACGCTATCCCGCAAATGGGCCTCTCCTTCCGGTTTGCTTATTCCGGAGGATAGTAACACTTGAAATGATTGCAAACTTGGGCCCTATCGTTTGACATACTTCTTGCTGCTCCTCGAGGGACATAGCCTGGGTTATGTGAGCTTGAGTGGATGTAGAATGACCCATCCAGCCACTGCCCATGGTCTCACGGTGAAATTATCACACGACCTTTCTGAACTTGGAAAGCCTCGTTCATTCACATTTTAACTCCCTGCCAAAACAAGCTTCCTTCTTGGAAGAGGTATGTTTCCATGGGCAATGCACAAGGCTATAATGTAAACCGTTAGATTTGATTTAAAAATTTTCACAGCATGGTTGTCATAAATTCGTGAAATAGACTGATCGTGTCCATAAAATTTCTTAATAGAATTGTAACTGTGGGAGATCACGCGGGGTCCCTGAAAGTAGCCCACGGACCCCCTGGGCATTCGCGGACCACCCTTTGAGAAACAGTACTACAGAGATTCTTATACATTCAGACATGAAGAGGACAATTGCGAAGAAATTTCTTTTCGATAAATATCGTCAGGTGCTACAATTATGAAGCAGATAACTAAAACTTGCAAAAAGCTATTGCTAGCTATGTACAAGGACAAGGACATCAGTTGATAGTGGAAACAGTTAAACTGGGAACTTATTATGTACAGCAATCAATAACAGATTCAAACGAGTCACGATGGACCGGTGACCTTGAGGCCCGCTAACCGCCTGATAGCCAGTTCAGAATTTGCGCTTGCACGAGAGCTCGCTGCTTGCAGAATTCCGGCTGAAGGCATCCCATAGCAAGAACTTCAGCTATAGTCAGGAAGCGCCTTTCGAGTCCCTTTGAGCACCGCTATGGGGCAACTAGGAGAATCGTAAATGAGTCTTTAACACGGCATTGATTCCCAGTGTTGATTAGGTGCTCACAGATGCGATGACCGCAGCGTAATAACTCTTCTAACTGAATAACAGTACTCGTGACCACTTTCTTTCGGTGTACTGCCCATGGTGTTTGAATTGCGTTCTGAAACTTTACATGACATCTTTACATGCCAGTTAGTGCAACGTGCATCACCGTGGTCACAAGCCGTTTGAAATCAGTTGCTGCATACGTACTGGACTGTATGCTAGATAGCGGGGACGTTGACGTGCATACAGTTAGGCACAGGCTATGTTTCGTACGGCATTCTGAAGTACGGGTATTGCGTTCGGCTCCAGCGCGGAACCATAGGTATCTGTTACCTGGCTCCTGATTCCCCAGGTTGTTTTCACTACTGACTTGTTTATATTATGACGGATTTAAACTTACGTGCCTCCGGATCACGTCTCGTTTCAGGTAACCGAAAGGTGGCAGCAGAAGTCAACTCATGCTACGTCATGAGTGATGTGAGGACGCGACTTGACAAACATCGAGTGGTTTGCAGCCCAACAAACTAGCCCCACTTACTGGCCATAACCTGCGGTACTGATGCTACCTATGTTGATGGAACCATTCCTCTCCTGTGCAGCCATACCTATCCAGGGATTTTAAGAATGCTACCTAATAGAGTACGCGCAATTCTCCACATATCTTCAGCTTGACACCGCTGCCCTCGGCTTTGTTAATAAGCAGTTTCTAAGCGATAGCTACACAATCCGGAACTGTTACCAATACTTTACCGTGAAACCTTTCGCTGAATATCCGTACCGTATCCTGCGCGCCGCATCAATCATAAGGGATTTAGTGAGGCGATATCCATCCACCTGCGCTCCTTTCCTCGTGCAAACGATTATCCTATACCCATCGTCATCAAGCTTGCTACATCACTGCTCTGCAGAACGGCACACCCGATTCCTGATACGTCTGTGATGCATACGTAAACTGCTACGAAATCTACGACGAGAAATGAGCCAGCATTTCCGATGAATCACATCGCAGCTTATATGTTATCAGTAAAGCATATCGCATTATTTTATTTCACGTCACATATGCGGAAACGGGTACGCTGAACGACGTTGCGCATTTCTTTCTAAACGGGTGCCGGGGTGTTCCACTATCGCGAACCTGCATATTGCAAGCGGGGCATGTAGTATTCCACACAACTACTCGGCGATGAAAAGAGAAAAACACCATTTCTATGTATAAAATTATATGTTAATGAGATGCAAATTAGTTACAAACCGGACATGTGAATAGCACGTCCGTAATTCCCCGTCATGTGCTGAACCATGTTCTCGCAGTGGCGCGGTGTCACACGTGATCGTGCCTCTGACACAACATGCTCCAGGAATCTGATGCGCCACTCGCTTTGGCTGAGAACACTATCAGGGTCCCCTCGGAGCATTTCCCCATACCTGCTCCTCATCACTTGCTTGACGTAACTTTTGATTACACTCCAGATCCCCTCGATAGGGTTCAGCGCCGGAGAGTATGGGGATAATCGTAACATCTTCCCTGATCGGTACTGTTCTTCCTGGAACAAGTTTTCCAAATCTGTATGGCACGGCGCGTTGTCATAAATCAGCAGGCACCGTTCGATAACATCCACACCTTGTGCATCTAGCAACTGTCGCAGCCACTGCGCACATCTTTGTTTATTGTAGCTTCCGCGTAAAGCGCAGAACGCTATCATTACGTCCTTTGTCATGGCTCCGACAAGGTGCACATTTTGTTCGCGACTGTTCGCCACAATACACTGTGCTCGGCTCCCACGGGGTGAACGGCCCCGAGTTCGTGCGCAAAAGAGATGAAAGTTCGTCTCGCAGATCCACATCGGTTCCCTTTCTTCCGCTTGAAAAATGTAATAGCTGCAGGACGAACATTTTCCGTCGCTGTTTGTTCACCTGCGTGTTCAGGGAATCAGGAATTGTATGTAACTTCTTCATCGTTATCAATCGCCCTTCGAGGTATCTGGTGGACACCCACTCAACCAGAGTCGAGGTGGCTCTATGTCATCCTCATGGAATGAGGCGGCTACCCTACCAGCACGAGAGTCCGTCGACCGTCAACTGGGAGTCAGAAATAAGTCCGAACAAAACATGTTTCGGACTGTCAGGGGAATGTTCCGCGGCACTTCCACTGCACCCCGTTTATGTTTTCCCCAACGCATTAGCCTAAAGTACCTATGGTCCTGACCCCCTACTGCTGTGTTGCTTATAGAAAAGGAACGTAAGTGTCCCACATAGTTACCTTAACACACATAGTAATGTTCACACCGTTTACTTATGGCTCAGAGAATTATTAGGTACATCCCTTTGTGTTGAATCCATCGTTTGTTCCGATGATTGATCAACGCTTAAATAGCACCAGGGAAGGAATTCTCCATTATGGCGTCGGTAATATTTTACAGAAAGCGAATATTTCCCCATCACCGACAACTGCAGCTGCTTAAGGTGTACCGGCCATGCTATATTTAGCATGTACCCCGCGCCAGTTCACTTGGCTGGCCAGGTTATTCATCATGTTAGCAAGCATAATGTTTGCCGTTGCGTTTGACAGCGAATTGCCACCAGTCGGTGCTAAACACTTAGTTTGAATTAAATGCACAGAATGTTAATAGACTCATACCATTTTGTTCATAACATCGGACTCCGTGTAATTGCCTGTTGACGCTGATTAACGTATCCACCGTGTTCATAGGTAGCGTTGCGGGACAGATTTCGGTTATCTTCGCTTGCAGCGCTTACCTCAATGCGTCGTTTAGGAGTGTCATTTCGATGAAACACTACCTCATGCAAATGAATTTGCGTGTTAAATTACTGATTTCGCCTTTCTGAATAAATAGGGTCAATGGGAACTGGGGCTGTTGCATAGCTGATCACAAAACAACTTGGCGTGCTCAACGTTCTCTGCGGAAGCGGTTAAGTAACACATACTAACCAGTTTGCATTAGCACTTTCACCCGATGCATGCGGTCTCCGTCTGTGGCAGTTGTTGGGGTTTTATAAGAAAATACGGTTGCGTATTATTACGTAATTAACGACCCAACAAATAATAGTGAAAACTCCGAGATTAGGTAGGAAAATAGATTGTCAAAAGTGACAATAGATTGACACAATTTAGCAATGTATCGCGGTAGGGCACAAGGCGCTGTTCAATCGTATGGCATGCAATCAGCCCCGTTGACGTTCATCGCCGTGTGCACGTGATGCTTATGTTGTGTCTTTCCAAGTCTCACATGAGTCGATAAGGTCCAGTGACCTTGTATCGGCCAAGCTTGCACGTCCCGTCTGCGCGTGCGTGCGTGCGTGCGTACGTGCGGATGCTAGATATGCTTCTCGCTTGCGAAGAGTCAAAGTGGGCTGAATCGGTCGGGTTTCGTAACTTTACGACCGAAATGTGTGACGTAGTTCGGAGGCGTGGCTGATGATTGCGATTTCGTAGTAGGGGCGTGATTCGAGGGATTGACTGCAGCTTCGATGTGTGCGGGCTTGAGACGGTCTGTGTCGGTCCGAGTTGGGAGTTGAACAGTGAAATGCTTAGGATTGCGAGAAATGACTCGGTAGGGTCCATCGCACACGATCTGAACGTACGAAAACATAAGCGCAATGCATTAGGTCAGAGGGAACGTAAGAACTTGTACTGGTTGAGAGTGAAGGTGCGTAACAGAGTTTTGACATGTGTAATTTCAACTCTGTTGCAGAATTAGATGGTTGTGAATGTTCTGTACTAGACGGACAGAAATATTCGCTGGGCAGGCGTAAAGTGGTTCCAAAAACAAGTTCTGCAGGTGAGCATTCCAAAGTTTGTCGAAACATTGTACGTAGCTGTAACAACACAAGTGGTAGTAAATCACACCATTGAGATGGGTTGTTGTGAGCCATTAGAGCTGTTTTGATGTGGCGATGCAAATGTTCCATTAAGCCGTTTGCTTGCGGGTGATATGCTGTGGTACCGATGCGTTGGCATCCAAGAATGTTGGTAATGTTTGAGAAAAGAATGGATTCAAACTGGGAACCGCGATCAGTCGTAATGGTGGCTGGAACACCAAATGTCGCGACTCAATGGTTAATGAAATTACGTGCGATTGTTTCCGTGTGAGTGTCAGGTATAGGAATAGCGACTGGCCAACGCGTAAAACGATCGATGCAAGTGAGGATATTCGCGTTGCTATTTGACGCAGGAAGAGGATCGACGATGTCCAAATGAACATGAGCAAAACGGGCATCGGGATTGCTAAAGGTTCCGAAAGGTGAGCGTGTATGGCGGATGACTTTAGAACGTTGACAGGAAAGGCAATTTGCAGCCCATTCCTTGATCTCTCTGTTCATGTTTGGCCATACGTATCGTTCAGAGATGAGACGGATGGATTGGCGGATTCCTGGATGTGAAACATTGTGAAAAGTTTCAAAAACCTGTCGGCGCATAGATGGTGGTACCAATGGACTTGGTACATGCGTCGAAACATCACATTCGATTGTTCCAGGAAGTGTATAGAGAGGGAGTGGTTTTAACACAAGTGCAAATTTCTCAGAGGGTGATGAGAATGATTCGGATGATTCTGTCTTCTGAGCCTTGGCCATCTAGTGTAAATCGATTGCGGAAACACAGTCAACACCAGGACGAGACAGAGTATCTGCGACTATTTTTTGGTTGCCGGCAACTTGCCGGATATCAGTGGAAAACTGAGAGATGTAATCAAGTTGGCTAATCTCTCGGGGCGAATATTTGTCAGGATTAGCAGAAAAGGCTGAAGCAAGAGCATTATGGTCTGAATAGATGCAAAATTCACGGACTTCCAAAAGATGTATTGTGTCGCCAAAAACTGCACCAACCGTGTCGGGAGTGAAAACACTGGACGACGAGCTACAACGTGTGTATTCTGGTGAGACCACGAACGGCGTGTATGTCGGGCAATCAAGGTCACACTCACATGCGCTTCGATCGGTGCGATCAATGATTCAATCATTAGGTCTAGCGTTAGCAGTGTTGTGCGCGTGATAGATTGAGCGAAACGTGTGCGTGTCGGGAACGCAGTGGACACATGCATGGGTACAATTCAGTGAAGTGAGAAAGTTAACAATGGGATACTAAACAGTAAAATGGCTACAACAAACATGGTTCACATAATGAACGGCTGCACACTGCTGTCCTAACACCTCCCTCCTTTAGAGAAAATTGGATAGCATGCTACATTTGATTCATATGCTCTACACCTTGGGTTAACCACTAGTCTTTGCACTGGGGCTCTGGTGCGCGTTGAATACCTTCGGTTTGTTGGTGCATTCTCCGTTTGCGCTACAGGTTCTTCTGATGGGCCCAATTGATACGTGTCCAGCAAAATGTCCAGTGGTAAAGAAGTTTCCCGTCTCTGGGAAGTCCCTTGCACTTCAACACGGGGTCTAATATGATTCACGTGTCTAGTCCATATGACAGAATCTACTTGTATTTTGTACAAAACACCTGAGACTCGTTCAACGATACGGCCAGGAATCCAGGATGACTTTCCGTCTCGAAAATTCTTAACGTATACATTGTCACCAGGCATGAAGTGCCGGGGGCGTGCTCCATGATGGCGATTAAATGCCAACTCCATTTGAGCATTGCGTTGTCCGTTGTTTTGCACTGGCTTCAAAGCATCAAGCACGGTTCTGACGCGCCTACCGAGAAACGCTTCGGATGGAGATAGGTTTTGTGGTACTGCTGGGCCTGGCGTAGTACGGTAAATCTGCAAAAATTTGTCAATGACTTTTTGGATGTTCCCCTCTCCCTCCATTTTAATCAGCGCTCGCTTGAACGTATCAACGAAACGTTCAGCTTGCCCGTTCGATTGCGGATGGTACGCTGGGCTGCGGATGTGTTCGATGCCATGAGAATGGCAAAAGTCAGCAAATTCTTGGGAAGTGAATTGCGAAGCATTGTCTGAAACAATTTTTTCGGGAACTCCAAATTCTGAAATGAGATGACGTAGGTGTAGTAAGACAATAGAGGTAGTTGCGTATCTTGTTTGAAAAATTTCGGGCCACTTTGAGTAAGCATCGACAATTATCAAGTAGTGGAATCCCTCTATGAGTCCGGCAAAATCAATATGAATGCGTGACCACGGTCCATTTGGGATCGGCCAAGAATGAAGTTCGCATTTTACAGGTAATTTTGCTGCCATAGCACAGCTGCTGCAGGAACGAACAACATTTTCAATATCTTGGTCCATAAATGGCCAATAGGCATAGCTGCGTGCTATGGATTTCATACGACTGATTCCTGGGTGACCTTCGTGGAACTGGCTGAGAACGCGCCGCTGCAGCTTGGTAGGAATCACAACTCGATCGGCCAGCATCAGGCATCCATCAATGATGGTTAAGGCGAAACTCCTTTTACGAAACTGCTCAGCATAGCAGTCCAAGGGGCGTGATGGCCAACCAGTGTTGAGGTATCTCATAATACGTCGTAACAAGGGGTCTGTTGCCGTTTCTGCTCTGACTGCCTCCGCTGTTACTGGTAGTTGACGTACACATGTTTGGAATACTTGTCTGATCTCAGGATCTACGGTAATGCTTGATACAACACTGTCTTCATCTGGGGTTTTGGAGGTGCACTCTGCAATCAGTCTTGATAATGCATCAGCATGACCGAGAGAAGACGTGCTTTTAAAACGTAACTCGAAATCGTACGCCAAAAGAGTGGTGGCCCAACGTTGCAATCTATTTGCCGTGTGAACAGGGATTCCTCGTTTGGTACCGAAGATAGACAGCAAAGGTTTATGGTCGGTGTACAAAATAAATCTACGCCCATGTACCATCTTATGAAATGTCTTGACCGCAGAAACCAGGGCTAGTCCTTCTTTCTCGATTTGACTGTAATTCTTTTCCGCTGCTGTCAACGCGCGGGAAACATGCATCACAGCCTTTTGATGTCCATTTGGGAATTGATGCAACAAGACACCACCAATGCCGTTTTGTGATGCATCAGCTGCAACAATTATTGGTAATCCTGGGTCGTAATGAGTTAAAAGAAGATCGGAGGACAATATCTGTTTAATGTCGTCAAAGGCTTTCTGGCATTGTGGTGACCAATTCCACACTGACTCATTTGCCAAAAGTGCATTTAGTGGGGCCCGGAGTTCATGCATTTGAGGGACAAAGTTGTGATAATAGTTAACCAAACCCAAGAAGGACTGCAAAGTAGCTTTGTTCGTAGGGTGTGGCATTAACTTGATGGCTTTTATTTTGTTCGGGTCAGGTCGACGACCGGAACTGTCAATAATGGAACCAAGGTATGTGATACTGGACATCATAAGTTGGCATTTCTCGGGATGTACACGAAATCCATATCCATCTATCCTGGAAAATACTTCGTTCAGGTGCGTGTAATGATCTTCAGCAGTAGAGCTTACGATTATTATATCATCCAAGTAAGCCATTGCGCACTGTAAACCGGATAACATTGCGTCCATCACTTGTTGAAAGATTGCTGGAGCACATTTTACTCCGAAAGGCAATCGATTGTAGCGATACAAACCTCGATGAGTATTAATAGTGAGCAGTTCTTTTGAATGATCTTCGACCACTACTTGTAAGTATGCATCAGAAAGATCAATTTTTGAAAAGATCTTCCCTCCATTAAGCCTTGTGAACAAATCCTCGGGAACAGGTAAAGGATAGTGATGCGTTTCCAACGCGTCATTTAATCCGGTGGAAAAATCTGCACAAATGCGCAAACTGCCATTAGCCTTTCTGATGACTACAATAGGAGCGGCCCATGCTGAGTAGGTCACAGGACTGATAACGCCCATAGACTCCAGTCGACTAAGTTCAGCATCCACTGCCGCAACGGCAGCGTATGGCACTGGTCTTTTGGGACAAAATACTGGACGTATACCGGTGCGCGGATATAACACAGCTTTTAGCTTACAGCACATTCCAAGACCCTCTGCGAAAACATTAGGGTACTTAGAGGCAAAGTGTGATTGAGCTTCCGTGCTGTTTTTAAATGTTACAGGAGCAACAGAACAATGAAAATCCGTGGGACAAAGTGAAAAATGATCTGAATTATCACAAATACTGTTCAAAGGTATGCTCCATAAATCAAGTTTGTCTATCCAATCAATACCTAACAAGTTCAAATGTCCATAGCGTGTAACGTAACAAACACCATTAGCATGCAAGTTACGAAGTGAAAACTCACAACTGAACTGTCCAAGAAAGGGCAATTCCGAGCCGGACGCGTCGTGAGCGACGTGCGAAGTTTGAACACATGGTGGTTTACCAAGTTTGCACCATGTTGACTCAGAAATTATCGTAATATCAGAAGCTGTGTCCAACTGAAGGCAAACAGGAACATGGTTTATCATAATCGTAACATACTTCCGCAATGACTGATAGTTTGGGCTGGTGGTTGCAAACACCACATTTGAAACACAGCGTTGAAAATTCGGAGTCCTGGCGAGGTTGCGTGACTGTCTTCCAAGGGCATTCTGCAAACATCTGGTTTCCTTATGTCCCACCTTTCCACAACGCTTGCATGTATGTTGTCTGAATTCACAAAATCGAGCAAAATGCCATTGACCACAATGCCAACAAGCACTAGGCGGACGGTTTCGACGTGTGAAGTTGGAGGATCGCACCGAATAGTACGATGGTCTGGGACCTGTAGGAATGGCATGAACATCAACCACACAAGGCTCGTTGTGCCGTTGGATCATTTCTGTGTTATGTTTCAGCGTCAGTAGACGTTCACATTCCTGTACTAGATCCTGCAGTGAGATATCTGGATTACATTCCAAACGAGATAACAAGCGCGTACGGATCTCCGCATCTTTCGGAGAACGTAATCCACAGACAAAAATGAGCGTTTTGAACTGATCACTAGTGAGTGTGCTAAGCTGAAAACGTTCACATTCCCTGTTAACAACTGCTGCGTAAGTCACAAAATCATCATCCTGATGTTTAACAACTTGAAAACATCGGAAACGTGCATTGAAAAGTGACGTTTTAGGACCAAAAATTCTGGTTAAGTTTTTCACCGTGTCGTCCAGGGACAAATCACGTGGGTTCTTTGGTAGAATGTAGTTCGCGTACTTCTCATACTCTTGTGAACCCAATTTCCTCAAAAGAAGGCGTACCTGTGCCGCATCGCCTAATCCACGCCCATCAATTTTTAACAAGTCCTCATAACGACGAAACCATGCTTCAAAAGTGAGGTCATCGTCTGGTTGGTAACGAAATTCTGCCATGCTATGCGCCAACTTGTCTGCAGTGGAAACCGTCGAATCCGTAGATGCTGGCTGTAACGACATCCGTGCTGTCAATGTTTCAATTAAGCGCTGTTGGGACGCTTCAAACTGTGCTTGCTGTCGGGATAACACTTCTTGAAGATATTCCAAGGGAATCGCCATTGCTCACAAAATAGAATTCCACCTCCGTTGCCACTGTATTGTGTCGCCAAAAACTGCACCAACCGTGTCGGGAGTGAAAACACTGGACGACGAGCTACAACGTGTGTATTCTGGTGAGACCACGAACGGCGTGTATGTCGGGCAATCAAGGTCACACTCACATGCGCTTCGATCGGTGCGATCAATGATTCAATCATTAGGTCTAGCGTTAGCAGTGTTGTGCGCGTGATAGATTGAGCGAAACGTGTGCGTGTCGGGAACGCAGTGGACACATGCATGGGTACAATTCAGTGAAGTGAGAAAGTTAACAATGGAATACTAAACAGTAAAATGGCTACAACAAACATGGTTCACATAATGAACGGCTGCACACTGCTGTCCTAACAACTACGGCTGTGATTTGCCCACCTGAAGTGCCAGTCTGCGAATTCACTCCGAGTATCGTAGGGGCGTCACTACGTCGAAACATGGAGACTTGCTAGTGCCCTGCCTTCCGGACAACCGAGACGTATCCTAACCTTAAGAAAACGACCCGAATCAACTTGGCTATGCAGTGGTGAGCGAGTGCTACAGACGCACGTCGTGTATAAGGCCTAGGGTGCTGCTGAATCAGTGCTCTGATACACGGTGATGTGACATTCACGACTGCCCGAGGTGAGGTGTGCGATCGATAATTAGCCTCGATTCGCGCAGTCCAGCTGAGTGAAGCGTGATGTCAGACTTTAGGTGTGGCAAGTATGAGACGGCTGAATCACTCGTCCGTTCACAAAACAGACATAAACTACCCATGCTGACCGCCTCCATGATTATTAGCTCGAGTTTGCCTGTGAAGCAACGTATATCGGTCTTGCGGCGCGGCTCTTGTCCAAACGTGTGAAAAAAGACTTCCCACGCTGGTTGCAGCAATGTGGCTCTGGGACCATTGACAGCTTCAGTATAGCTCATATTGTCGATAGTGCGTATCAGGAGGATTCAAATCTGCCTTTAGAATAGTATACAAGATTCGACAACACAGATAGAAAGGTATACGTCTTCCTACATTTGCGACGGCCAAAGCTAGTTGCGATCGCTTATTTCAACCGTGCTTATGCTTACAAAATATACTAATCCGGGCTCTTCAGCTTCTTTGGCCCCCGAAAACGGAGGCTACTGAGGTCAACGGCCTTAGGCCAAACTCTGTGACATGTACTTAACTTGTTTCGCTTTTTCGCTTACATAACTTTTATTAACTTAGTCCTTTTTGCTCCTTTTTTAGCCCTAAATATGGTTGTAATGGTCCGAAGATGGATCATTGAAAGCAATTTTTCACTAAATGGTCGCGTTGTTCTCGCTAAGGAAGTTTGAAATACACCTAAACCGCAAGCCATTGTTGGAATTCAAGGTGAATCAAAAGCAGTTTGAGAACACATGCTCTATAGTGACACACGGCATCTTGTTGGCCGACGGCGTCTGACCAATGAGGAAGCTACTCGACGGTGTGCGTGTGCACCTAATCCAAACTTTGAAACGCACCAAGTTAAACATGCTTATGAACCAACTTGAAAATGCTTACGGACCGATTTGTTTCCTTTATTAACTAAGTTGACTCGGAAATGGTATAGATAAAGGACTTAACGGGCGTGTGTCACCGGCGTTTTAATCTGATTGGCTTGCTTGACGGCATGTGACTGACCTCGATTTAGGACGTTTGGTTGCAAAAGCACACGTGACGGGTGTGTATCGCCTTGACAAACTCCATGACTCAAGATCTGTACCGTATACACATACACCTAGTTTGTTTTTCGAACGTGTTCAAATTAGTGTTTGAACATGTTCAGTTTGATTGGCCTATACAGACTAATGGGGATAGGGGTATGTATATAAACTCTTAGGGTTATGTGCATGGTTAAATCTAACCCCTAATTTTAATCACTCATTATCCCTAACCTAACGCTTACTCAACCCTAATACAAAACCTAACCTTAACTACTTATAAGACTACTGACACAGCGGATTCTATTGTATTACTATAGTATTACTATTATGGCTACTATTACTACTACTATTACTGATATTACTACTATTAGTATTGCCACTATAGAATCCGCTGTGCCTTTGTCAATCAGCGACTGTGTCAGTAGTATATACGTAAAACGTTTTTTCATCTGCAAATTAGGGTATATATGTAAGGAAGCAGCAAAATCGCGTGTATATGTGTGAATATGTGATCATTTGCGCCATTGTAGTAGCGCACAATTAGGTTTGATTATTCCAATCGTAAGGTTGATAATGCATTACGAACGTAGTATTGGACGTTGTTGCTCGAACAGGATTATGTTAGATATGCATAGGGTCTCAGGTATGTGTTCATGTGGCCACAAGGGGGTTATTACTTTGTTCTCTGTCCCCAGTTATTTGATTTATCTGAGTAGGTGCATGTCCAGCCGAAGTCATTTCTGTTTCGATTTACACATGATAAAAGAGTACATGTGGTTGCGCCACTCGCCTTGATTGCGTTGCGTTAATAGTGTCCAAGATCATCGTTCTTAGTAAATGCAGGTGATTAGCTTTGTAGGTCTTATCGTGTACGCATGAGAGTGAGTGGACTGTAGAGATCGAAACGGGGTAATGGTTGGCCGGGTTCCATCAAAATTGGTGTGACTTCAAATCTTTGTCGTGTCACGTGAATGTGGAACCAAATTGATCTGTCACGCTGATATGATGATTGCGCTCCTCACAAGCAATTCAACATTTTTGAGGTTGATTCAAAGAGTTGATGTGAATGAATTTGCAGATCTAGAAAGTTAATGCCATCGGTCAGACGGCGTCTATGGTACCCCGAGAGAACACAGACGTGCTTTCGTATGGGGCTGCAAAATAATGTAACACTTTCTCACCAGGTGATCACAACCTCCAGGCGATTCATGGGTTTAATGTAGATTGTTTGGCTTATTATAGTATAGTTTTGATGACAGTTTCGGACCGGCCACCGTTTTCACAATGGAGTACACATTACGACTAGCTCCAAAAATGAAGAGCTGTATTGTTGCGATTTTCATTTAGTGAGGCCCTGTGTCGAAACGTTTGATGTGATCTTTCCTCTCTGAGTGAGTGAGTTATAACTAACCAAACCTGTAATATTGCCGGTCACCGTTGAAATAGGAACTGATCCCGACACCAATTGTGTTGCATGTACGGTGCCGGACAAATTTGTAGTTTCATTCATCAAAATGTTTCAACACGATTTAACCTCGCTCGAACTGGTGTTTGAATCTCGCGGTATATCTTTTTGCAATACGTCGAATAATTTTCGCAACAGGTTGCTTGAAATCCACCACCAAATGCTTATTATGTCATGGTCAAACTCACCACGTACTGTCTGTCACCGGAGACTCCACCCTGTTGGACAGTGGATGCCAACTGCAGTGGGAAATCGCAGCTGTGCCTGAGACTCCGGATGTGTTTATCGAGCTTGCTGCAGTATGAACATCTCTGATTATTCGAATTCACGTGTTTGTTATCCAGTGGATAGAGTGCTCAGGTGGGTCACCTTGTTCTTTTGCTATCATCTCGTATGCAAACTTGAGTCTGTCTGTCATCATGTATTTGTGAAACATTTGCGTATCTTACTGTCCTATGATTTGGGGATTTTCTTCAACTCCTTTGCTGCACTCATTAGAATCAATTCTATGCTGGTATTCATTAAAACGGGTTATCTACGAGTGCTCTTCCTCAACCACTCCAGCAGCATCCTTCTCTTCTGCACCATATATAAGCACATCCGTCGTAACTGTTGCCCAACTGATTCCCATCACTCATCTTGGTGACCTGGATATTCCTGTCGTCCTACCGAGGCTTGAAACCAGCGGCTTGCTACACCTTGTCGTTGGCGGATTTATGCGTTTGAGCTGACGGAAACTTCGCACGGACCGATGATTTCTCATTCCAACGGAACACCAGCCTTTACTCGTATTTGCATCTGTGCGTCAGGTCGAGCGGGTGGCTTTGTAATTTCGACTTGGGTCGCATTCAAATGAGTATACACAAGCAGGGATGCATTTTCTTGATTGGTTTGTTGATATACTGCTGCTTCAATCAGTTGCACTACGCATTACATCGTCCATTGTCCCTCGATGGTGCCGAACTCACAGTTTGAGTCGAGGACAGCAGAAATGCTGCATAAACAATCTCATCCATACTAGTGTCATGTGATATAGAGTGAAAGCTATCGGACCTGCTCACAGTCCAGTCATTCGTGTGTTTAGCTGTTCACGAAAACATCTCCCTTCTCAATGTATTTGTGAAAAACTAAACGCTCATTCGCCTCTGTTTTCGAGCTGAATTAAGCTGTGCAGCCTGGGACGAGTGAACAAATCTTTCGATCTGGCGTTTGTTATCAGCATCTGTTCTTTGAGACACAGTTGAACTTAATTACAGGTATCACGACTTACCATGTGGTAAACCTCCCTGGAACTTTTCTACTGACCGAATTGGACAGTTAGGGAGGAATATTCGCAGAAATGGATAAATCTCTCCGACTTTTTGAGCATCAGCACAGTGCTGTGCTCAGATGCTACCACAGAATCCGATCTGACATACCATTTGAATCGAAATTCAAATCCAGACAGCTTCGTTGTTGCGTTTTCCTTTTAAAATCCCAGTGTCTAAGATAATCGTTGGAGTCTATCCACCATGACGGATTGGAGTGCGGAAACCTGTTACTCGGCACGATGAAGAGGCGTCGAGAATTTTTGCCATTATACAAATTACTCAGAACTACGGTCTATTTCTTGCCCCTCGCTCCGCTTATTCGTAGTCAACTGAGCGCTCGTCAGCTAACGATGCCTCTTCAATTACACGGTCATCATGAGAAAATGTGATCTTTTTCTCAACGGTAGTCAGAAATCAACCGGTTGCCTACTCCATCGTGATCAAAGTGTCCCAAGACACCTCGCTGTTGTGAATTGTGTTTTGCCTTTTCAGCACTCTTCATGTATCCGCTTAATGAGGAAAGCGGAGCAGTAATCCCGATTGCTTCGCTCGCCACATCAAAATCTCCACTAACTTCGTATCCCTTCGTCATTGAGCCTTTTCAATCACCATAGTTTACAACTCGCCAAACGCTGGTATTCTGAGCAATGCATTAACCATTTATTTGCTTCACAAAAAACAATGCCATGTCTTTCATCCATTTTCTACTACGCTTCTCTCCGTTTTCTCTGCAATCGTTCTCCGACAGTAGCCATGGCATCACCACACAAGACAGCATTTCTGTGCGTTATTTCACTACATTCTTCTCACCCACACATCTCTTTCCTCACTTTGTGCAATTGATATTGATTAGTAAC